AACAACCGAATAGTAGTCAACCAAGTAGTGATCAATCAAGTGGTAAACAACCAAATACTAGCCAACCAAGTGAAGAAGAAGAATTAAAAATGACTTATCATTTGTTGGAGGTAGAGTAAAAATAGGAAATATTATTATATTAGATCCATTACAAGTTATGAGAAGCTTTAGAGAATCGAGTAACTTTGGCAAACCTCCTATTTTACTCGCTACCGATAGTGTGTCCTATCAACAACTTTCCTGGAAATTGTATTTCTTATTAACTAATTATTATGATGATTATCCTTTATTTAAGAATAAAAGCAAAGTTTCAGACTTTGAGTCTACACTTCGTGAAATGCAGTATGTGGGGAATCCGATGAAAATTTTGGATAAAGTATTTTTTATTGCTACAAGGTTGGCTAAAGAATTATTCGATATGGATCCCCATTTAGAGAAAATAGTACGTTTTATATGGGAGTATGGGAAGGTACATTTGATGGAAAAGGGATTAAGTCCATATGGTTTTTTAAAAAATAGTACAATTAATAAAATGTTAAGTAATATTATTAAAACTGTACACAATGAAATTGATTTACTGATTGATCGTTTGTTAATTGTATTACGTCGGTATTTATCTGGAGAAAACGAATTAAAGAATAGGTATTACAGAAAATAATAGGAATAATTTAATCTTGTCTATGAAATCAAAATACAATATATATAATATTTAATTAATATAATATTTATAAATAAATAAAATTACGATAAAATAGTATATTTTATAAATTTATAATTTACTTAAATAAGTTTATCTATAACATTAATACTACTTGTATTAAGAATTTCTTCAACGTATCATTTTGCTTGTCAAAATTTATTAAATTAAAATAAAAATTTTAACATTTCTGACAATTACTTTTTGGATATTCTTTGTTATTAATTATTATATACCATTATATGAGAAGTACATTATAGAATTTCGAAAAAAAATGTGAAGTTTAATCGATTTGTGGATTGAACGAACGGCAACGCAAGGTAAACAAACTTAATCCTATATCAATAGTAGAAAAGATGTAAGTATCAACGACATATGAGACACACATCTTCGCTATTATAAGATACTACACTACTACAGCTAAAGGAATACACATATATGTGAAATTTCAATTTGCGTTTATTCGCAAATAGCTGGGTATTTACACCAAGTTTAAAGACCAAATGAATCCGGAGTGGTAATCCCGCCTCCTGGTTTATACAGAATTGTTACAAAATTTTATCATCTCATTCTATTATGCTAGATTTGTTAATTTATTTTGTGACTATTCTGTGATGATTCACTGAAACACTGTGAAATTCACACGAATTTCGACAAAAATATTTAATACAAAAAAGTGAACAAAACCAACTTAAAAAACAATATTTACAGTTACGAACCAAAGAATTGGAACAAAAGAGAGAAATAGAGATGAAAAACTTAAAATCAAAACACATGAAGAAATTTTAGATATGATTAAATCATTACGTCAAAATAATGCAAAAGGACAAAAATGAAATGCTTATGATTCTGATTAATAGATTTCTTTTTAATGTTAGCAATACTTTCATATCTTATAGCAAAATTTGAATATTTTATATTTTACAGTTAATTAAGTTATAAGTTATAAAATTATTTTCACAAGTTTCTTAATACGAAAAAATTTGATTTTTCATAAGTCGTTTGCATCCCAAATAATTTCATAATTATTTATAACAATAATTATTATTATCATTAATAGTTATTTAGTAAAACTTTAACATAATCTTATTTAAATAGAAAGTAAGTGAGTAATTGTAACAGATTAATCACTGTTCTCTTAATATTAAAGATTTTATGGTAAATTGCGTATCGTAAGAACTGTTGACAAATGATATTTTAAAATATTGTTAATTATAAGCATAATTATAAGCATTATATTATAAGCATATTTTAGAAATATTTTTTACTTTTGTATTTATTACAATTTTACAAAAGATATACAAATTATAATAAAAATATAAGCAAATTACAACGATTGTTATTGTGTTTTTATAGCCAAAATTAATGTACAATTTTTAAATTGATTTTTTATACATTATATTTAAGAGGTTATACGCAGTTAAAATTTTGAAAAAATCGATTTTTTTGCATTTTCGGAATGTACATATATTTAAGTATATTCTCTGAAAATTTGAGGCTAATCCGATAAATATTTTCGGAGATATACCTGAATTTGTAAGGCCATGTCAGAGTGTTAGAAAACAGGTAGAGTAAGAACCGGAGTGAAAATAACTCTATTTTCTTCTATCTACAAGAAATAACAATTATGTTATAAATTTTGTTTTATTAATTGAATTATTACTTCGATAATACTTGTGTTGACAGTAAATATATTCGGTTCGGCTACCTAATGCTTATATTTGGTTAATTGAATAATACTTACTTTGAAATAATAGTTGGTTCAAATAATTATTATTAAACAAAATTATTATTATTACAAAACAATTATTTATTGACCTGCAAATTGTCAAAGTAATTCAACTTATTGGAAGGATATGTTTATAAATTAGATTTAGATAAATATTAAGAGCGATAAAAATGCATTCTAGCGTTATTTTGAGACAACTACGCTTTCCATTTAACGCTCTTACACAATGTTTGGCAGTGTTTCACAATATAGAGACCCTATAGGAGGGACGCGCCATGTAGATTGCTGGGGGACAGGAACTCGTGTAGTCACGTGATTGTGCGCGAAATATTCAAACATTAAAATAATTATGAAATAATGAACTGCATCAAATACAGAAAAAAATGAACTATATTAAATGATAATTAAAAATGTATATTAATAATTAATATAAATAAATAATAATAATATTAATTTATATTAGTAATTAAGAATACACTGTCGAACCATGATTATTTATCACAAACAATAAGTCTGTAAATAAACGATAAGTTATAGGTTAGGTTTGTACATTTATACTTGTAATTATTAAATGAGTAAATTAAACTTACACTTATAGAAAACTACTAAAAATAACAAAACAATTAAACATAAATATCACAATAAAAACTATAAGTATTCCAAACTTAAACTAACCACAGCCGTTAATACATACTAAAGATAAACATGGCTGCGCGATGCAACGGAAGATGTCCCCCCACATTTTCAGCCTTGTAATCCACATGGCGCGTCCCTCCTACAGGGTCTCTAGGAGTAATACATATATGGGGGCTACTGAGAGTATAAAAATTCATAAATATCTAGAAAATGAAATGATTCTTAAATGAACGTTAATTGTCTATAGGGCATTTCATATCAAATCAATGGCGGCACATGTTTTTCTGGTCAGTAAGATGAAGTAATGGCTAGTACTGCTAGATGGTGGCACATATTTTTCCAGTCGGTAAGATAAAGTAACTGCTTGTTCTGTTAGATGGCGGCAAGTATTTTACCAGTCGGTAATACAGTACAGATTTCTGTCAATACAGAATATAGTTAAGATTTTGTTTATAACTCGTGATTTAGAATAGTTAAGCTTATTTAAAAAAGACTATTTTATAGCCAAGGTCGATCTGAGGTAACGTTCATTACACGTTAGTTATAAAATTATCCACTTTTTATCTTAATTATTTAGGTAACGTGTATACATATACATACCCTAGTAGCACAAAATATTGAAAAATATTGAATACATGTGTATTTAATATTAAAAAGACATTAAATCTCTTTTAATATTAAATATACATGTATTCAATATTTTTCAATATTTTGTGCTACTAGGGTATGTATAAATATAAATAATATGTTCTCTCTCCAATTAAATTCTTCTTTTATTAAACAAATACATTTCAGATAAATTATAAAATCATGTTATCAATACGAAGTGGTCAAAAACTTGGTGCATATCTTTGGTTGCCAACGTGCATTGATCATTCTAATCTAAAGCAGATCAGGAGAATAACTTTAAGCAGTATATGCTCTTTTAAGAATTTTCATACTTTATCCTTTAAACAAATTAAGTACAAATACAAAATATATTTTGATATAGATAATAAAGTTAAGCCTTTGTTAGGATCAAACACATTATCTTATATTGATTTGTCCCATTGCCAGGAGAGAAGATATTCAAGATTAACTACAAGAATACTCAATTCTTCATCAAGTGTACAACCCTATATGAAACTTATGAGAATAGATAAACCTATAGGTAGGATATGCATATAAATCAGTTTTAATTGAAGTTTTAATTGAAAATCAATTTATTAAGAATAAGTTATAAAGATGAAGAGTTATATATATTAATTTTTAGGATCATGGTTGCTATTTTGGCCTTGCGGTTGGAGCATAGCTATGGCAGCACCTCCAGCCTGTTTACCAGACTTCAAATTATTGACGCTATTCGGATTAGGCGCATTTATAATGCGAGGTGCTGGCTGTACTATAAATGATATGTGGGATAAAGATATAGACAAAATGGTATTTATTCGTTAAACAAATTTACAAGCTTGTAAAGTAAAGTACTCTAGAAATTAAAATTTTGATTAGGTAGCAAGAACGAAAGATAGACCTTTGGCTACTGGACAACTAACGTATTTACAGTCGCTTATTTTTCTTGGAGGACAATTGAGCTTAGGCTTATTCGTGTTATTACAGTTAAACTGGTATAGCGTTTTTCTTGGCGCAAGTTCTTTAGGTCATTGTCTATCGATAAATAAACAAACAATATAAAGAATATTGAAATGTTATATTATGAAATATTTATCACTCGTTATAGGATTGGTAATAATTTATCCTTTAATGAAAAGAATAACGTATTGGCCCCAATTAATACTAGGAATGACTTTCAATTGGGGAGCTCTTTTGGGATGGTCAGCTGTGCGAGGGTCATGTGATTGGTCCGCGTGCCTACCTCTTTATGTTGCCGGAGTTTGTTGGACTATCATATATGATACTATTTACGCTCATCAAGTAAGCGTAATGCATTTCATTATTTCTATACGACATTTAAGAAAAATATTGAATTACTAAAAATGCTATTATATTAGGACAAAGTAGATGATTTGTTGTTAAACATTAAATCGACCGCGTTAAAGTTCGGAGATAAAACGCAATTATATTTGTCTGCATTCGGTATATTTATGACAGTAGGATTAGTAACATCTGGCATTGTAACTGCACAAACTTGGCCTTATTATGCAGCAGTAGGATTAACTGGAAAACATCTTGTCAATCAGGTAGATAATTAATTATTTCGTGTATCAATTAATTTATGTATTAATCAGTTTATATTATTGTAAACTAAGCACATAAACACATAAATAATAATATTATTTACTTCATTTCAGATATATACTTTAGATATCAATAATCCTAACGATTGCGCTAAAAAATTTATATCTAATCGGAATGTAGGACTGATTCTTTTTATAGGTATTATTTTAAGTAATTTATGCAAAGATCTCCCAGAAAAGCAAGATCATCGAAATAAGCAAGAAAAGAAGGAAAATAGTATAAAATAAATGTACAAGTTATTGGAGTGCCATTGATTAGTCAACATATACCAAATACATACTTTTATGACATATGTCATATTATGTACATAGAAAAACAAGCATAATCTTTTACTGCACATCTATCCTTATATCTCTATCTCTCTTTTCCTCTTTCTCTATCTCTCTCTTACTTAATTAAGACGTTTTAACTTCAGATCGCGAAAGTATTATTGCTTTATATTCTTCTGATGTTAATAAGGTATCTTTTACTGCATCCAATAGCTTTAAGTTAGGCATTACAAGAGCTAAATATCCACCTTTGTGCGGTGGTTCCTTTAAAGTTTCTGGGCATTGCAACAATACGTCATTAACTTCCATTAATTTTCCATTAATACAACACTTGATTGTGTATTTTTCTTTATCCGAACACAATATTGTGCAAATATTCGAATCAACTTGCATAGGTTGAGCACCGTGTTTACTTTTTCCAGATACCTTATTTAGCATCCTGTCTAACTTATCGCTGACTTTGTAATCAACTTTTAATATTTTCTTATCATTTTTAAAAATGTTATGACTTGGTGCTAAAGAAATTAAACAAATTCGATTACTATGTATTCTAATGCACATGTCGTCTCCTGGCTTCTGAACATCGACTTTATAATATGTAGAAAAGTAACGTTCGGTAATAGTTGGTAAGGAACCATTAAAGTCGATTTCTTCTAGCATATCTGAAATATCATTGTCAGGCTGAAATACAAACGACGAATCCTCATCTGTTAAGAACATTGAATCTTCTTTTTTTTCTACATCATCGTTCGAGTCAATTACTTTTTCATCATTATTAAATACTCGGTTTACATCCATTTTTATTTCACATTTGTCAACATCACTTATATTATCGTTAATTTCACTTTTTTGATCATTCGTAGTCTTGAATTTTTTCAACAATGGTTCCATGCTCAAATGACAATAACCTACGATTATCTCGAATTCTTTTCAAGTAATTCTTACAATTTAATTGTAATTTACTAATTTTCCAGTTGTTTTTACTGAGTAGTTGTTTTATCTTTATTCACGGAGCCTAGATACTCTGTGGTACTACTACTTAGAGAGAGAGAGAGAGAGAGAGAGAGAGAGAGAGAGAGAGAGAGAGAGAGAGAGAGTTATTCCAAGAGTACGGACAGTCCTGTGCTAGGGAAAAAAATAAATGATGGAAAAACACTGTACTATAAATTCTCTTGTCATAGATGATATGTAATGTATTATATTATTATTATCATTATCAAACCTATTAAAATAATGTTAAAATCAAATTCTATACAATTCTATATAAATATCAAACTCTATACAATATTCATATGTGAACGGTGGAACAATTACACTTTAAAAAAAACAAATTGTCCCTAGAAAAGTCGCTAAAAAATCAATGATATTACCAAGGTGTATTTTTTGAATATTACCAGTCTATCAAGGATCAATTAATTTGAAGAAGAAAAGTAAAAGAAGGAATATAACCCGAAGATATCGTAAAACGCGATTTATCGTAGAACGAAGTTTTCGTGTATTTTCCATATTGTTAATTCGTAATATAGTGCTTCTTGAAAAAAACATAATAATTGTTTTATCAGATAAGTTAACCTCTTTTTTTCTCTCTATAAAATTGAATATCATCCATTTGTTTCCATAAGAAACAAATATATAAATTACATTTAAAATTCTGATTTTTATTGGTTTTTTTTTTTTTTATAAATAAGAATTTGTTTAAGAAAGAAGTAGAAAGAAAAAAATATAATACTAAATTCTTCTATAAGGAAGATCTTCAAGTAATAACGTATAAGTGTCGGTAAGGTGCTAATACTTGTTTCTTTTTTATGTTTTCTTCGGTGAATTGTTAAAGTTTATTTATTTCTTATTATTTCTTTTGTAGACAGCAAAATGTCAATGCCTAATTTAAATTTGGAACATCTCGATGAATTAAAAGCCTTCGTCGAAATGTGCAAGTCGCAACCTTGGATTTTATGCAGACCTGAATTAGCTTTTGTTAAATCATTAATAGAGCATTTTGGTGGTAAAGTAGATCCTGTTAAATCGAAGAACGAAACCGAATCTAAGTTTGAAGAAACTGAATCTAAACCGCAAGTAGAGAGTGAAGAAAGTGATTTGGAATTAGATATGACAGGAGTCATAGGTTAGAGAATAATTTTCTTCAAATGTAATCCTTTTTTGATATACGAGAAAGATACTTATCCTAAATTGATTAGACATTATTCAAATCTTCTAATTAGAAATATATATGTATATATATATATATATTTATTTATTTATTTATTTATGTAGAACCAGACACTGACACACCACAAGAAATGGGAAATTCTGCTTTGGAACCGACTGAAGAAGAAATTGCAGAGTCCCAAATAAAACGTTCGGAAGCTGTTTCAGCATTTGTAGAAAAAGATTATGAAAAGGCTATACAGCTTTATACAGAAGCTATTAAATTAAATCCACAAACAGCACTTTTATATGCAAAACGTGGACAAGTTTATTTACTATTGAAGAAACCTAATGCATGCATTCGCGATTGTAATCGGGCATTAGAATTGAATCCTGATAGTGCGGCGGGTCACAAATTTAGAGGACGAGCATATCACTTACTTGGAAAATGGGAAGAGGCAGTAAATGATTTGAGACTCGCTTGTAAATTTGATTTTGACGAACAAGCCGACGAATGGTTACGCGAAGCTACTCCAAATGTGAGTAGTCAATTTTATCTTTCTTTTATTATTTTTATTTAATAATATTTCTAAAATCTTAATAGTTGTAAGTAGTATAAGTAGAAGTAATTTTAGATTCATTTTATTTTTTCTATTTTATTTTCAAGATATTATTTTTTGTCAAACCTATTTACAGTTGTCTTTAATATTATTTTCAAAGAAATTCATTTCTTTAAAATGTTAGTTATTATAAATATAAACTTGCATTCTATTTTAGCTTGATTCTAAAATATTTTTAAATGATTAAGAATGAATGTTTAGAAATAAATATTTATTTCTGCAAAATAAGTCATCTAATTTATATGATGCATCTTATAATATGGAACAGTAATACCCATAACAAGAACTGAAATAATATAACGAATCAATTATTAACGACAATAATAATACTAGTAGTATCAGCAATAGTAACAGCAGCAGCAGCAGCAGCAGCAGTAGCGATAGTTATAATATTTTAATGACAGTCATCATGTTGCTGTTGCCATTGCTATTATTCTAGTATAATAGTGTAGTAGAACTAATGGTAATCATTATTATAATCATAACAACAACAATTCGTATATTCACAATAAATCAATGGTTTGTGTGATTATGTGTCAATATAATGCCAACAAACTTCAAATTTATCAAATGGACAAGGATAAAGATGGTAATGACCAATCTTTACTTTAGAAGCAGTTTTTCAATTATTTTAGCTTTCTTATATATAAAATGCATACAATGAAAAATATGTAAATTAACTAAATAACAATCATTTTAGCTTTATGTAAAAGATGAAAACTGTGCGGTATGAAACAATGAGATGAAAATAATGGAAATGTAACATGTGATAATTTTTTGCTTTTTTAATTGCAGATATTTAGTTTCTTTTAAGAAAACATCATTTGTTATGAAACAAATTTTAGTAGATAGATTGTTCATATTTTAGTAATATTATTTTTTAATGTCTGCAATTCATTTTGTATAGTTTACTGTGCGCTTTTTTAACTTGTCTGTTTTTTTAATTCGCTACGTTTGTATTCTTATTTTAAATCATTGATATAAATAGGATATTTATTGAAATTATGAAATATGCATTTGGTAATTTGATGATGAATAATTTATGTTAGAACACATTAAAGGAAAACTTTCACTGTTCATCTTATATCGGAATGATAACACTCGCATTATCTTCCAGGTGCAAGCATAATTTTAAAAGAGGGAGATTTTTTGAGATATTTGCAAGTTAGTAATTTAACTATTGAGATCACATTTATGTTTTGAATGAACCAAAATATAGTGGGAGGATTATAAATTGTCTTGATATATAATGATCCTTGTGGCTTTTAAAACGTATTTGTTTGCAGCATTGACGCTTGCTTAAAATACATTTATATATATTAGGATGGGTCAAAAAAATCAATTATTTTTTTTTTACAAGTGCCACGGAAAAATGGGTTGCTAGACACCTTAAAAATTTTTTTACCAAATATGAGCTTTTAATTTCAATAGGAAGATCCTCCGCATCGCAGTTTTTTTATTTTTTTTTTTCAGTACAATAGAATAAATTCATAGCTCATCATTAATTGATTGTACAGAAAAATGTTTTTGAAGAATTTTGTAGGAAATTTAATGCTCTACAAAAAAGGTATCTCATATTTTTTCCGTAATCCTCACCATTTGAATAATATTGAAGACTTAAGTTTGATTATTTTAAGACAAATTTCATTTTTGTTTATGAATTTTATAATTCGACAATAAATGATTATTATAAAATGCGCAATACAAATTCTTGTAGGAAATTAACTGCTTTATAAAAATGGTGTCTTATGTTTTTATTATGCAATTAAATTAAGCGTTCAAAAGATATTCAGAGACAAAAATCAGTAGACATGAAAGTTTGATGATGAATATCTTTTGAACGCTTAATTTAATCGCCAAAATATAAGACAGAGCAGTTAATTTCCTACAAGAATTTGTATTGCGCATTTTATAATAATCATTTATTGTCGAATTATAAAATTCATAAACAAAAATGAAATTTGTCTTAAAATAATCAAAATTAAGTCTTCAATATCATTCAAATGGTGAGGTTTACGGAAAAAATATAAGATACCTTTTTTGTAGAGCATTAAATTTCCTACAAAATTCTTCAAAAACATTTTTCTGTACAATCAATTAATGATGAGCTATGAATTTTATTCTATTGGACTGAAAAAAAAAAATAAAAAACTGCGATGTGGAGGATCTTCCTATTGAAATTAAGAGCTCATATTTGGTAAAATTTTTTTTAAGATGTCTAGCAACCCATTTTTTCCGTGGCACTTGTAAAAAAAAAAAAATTGATTTTTTTGACCCACCCTAATATATATATATATATCTCTTTTTCTCTTTTTCTCTTTCTCTCTCTTTCACTCGTTTGTTCATTCGTTACATCATTCTTTCTCTCTCTCGTTCTTCATTTTCTTTCTAGAGAATGTACAGTGATGTGCATTTCAATCGTATATAACTTTTCATACGTGACTCAGCTCAATTCTAGTACAATATACATCCAGCACAGTCTACTCCCGATAAAAATGATCGTAGTAGGTCGTTAAATTCATAATTATGGGAGGAGATTTCTCTTGTCATTGTGAAAAATACTGTATTTTCGCACAATCATCTTAATTTATCATTTTATCTATTCGAACGTAGAGTAAAAGGAAAATTAGCGATTATTCTGTACTCTATATGGTAGAAAGAATTCCATTTAGAAGGTGCATTTGTACTCAACTGGATGGGCTACTAGCCTCGTTCTCATGCATCACCACTTCTACAGATTTCTTATATTTTCCAACAAGTTCTGGTAGATCATATGCAATGGCAACGTCGAGTCTATTTATAGGACAACCGCGGAAATAAGTACAAGTTGAACTTAAAAGCTGAAAATCGTATAAAGCATTTAATCGGAAAAAATCCCGATAAACGTCTGGATCGGGAAGATCATAGCGTGATATATTGGTAAGAGTACTCAAGCCTTCGTAAATATGATAATCTTGAGGATTTTCTACGATTTTGTCACTAATTTCTTTCTTATTTCCAAAAAATGTTTTGTGATTATAATATGTCGTTAAATAGCAATCTACCATTTTAGCATGATTTCGTACACGAACCTGTAATAAGAAAAAAAGAAGTGATTTGCAGAATATTTGTCGAGGATTGTCAAAGAAATGAGTAAAGAAATCATGAAAGGAATCATCAAACAGACTTACAGCAAATCTCCTAGCACTGGCTATTTTATGTTCAACTCTTTTGTCAATGGCAGAACGCAAATCACGAAGGAAGGCGCGTTCTTGCGCGTAGAGCAGTCTGGTCGGTGCGCCAGTTTCGTAAGGTATAGACCATAAAGAAGTGGAATACATTATCGGTGGTTCAGCGCTAGACATTAACGGAGATATATTCCAGATGAGAGCACCTTGCACTCTCATAAGTTCTTCCGGTTTGACTTGATCAGCTTTATTCAGTATAATTCGTGTCTGTCGTGTGTCAGATAAATCGACAAGTTAGATAGTGATAGACTTAAACACAATTCAAAGGATTTCAGAGAGTTCTTTCTTACTTACTTGATATTCGCGGCCTTTAAGTTGATCCAAAATGGCTTCTGTTTCTGGTCCAACATCTAATTTTGAAGGGTCGTAGACTAGGAAAATAATGTCTGCTCTGTCGATGAACCATTGGCAAGCGTCATTGAACGGAAACAATCTTTGAACTTGTTTGCGTATCTCTAAGATGCCAGGTATCTCGACGATATTAACCTGTTTGCACGCGGCGAAGTCATTATTACTATTCTATTTTCTAATGCCATTTCATCGATTTTTCATCGATTTTTCATTGATTTTTCTATGTAAGATTTTTGTATGTCCGTTTACCTTCTCGAGTAACTTATTATTGAAGCGAAGCCCTCTGAGACGATCCAACATCCCTTGACCGAATTTTTGCAATCCAGAAAAAGTCCAGTCGGCTGCCAATTGCGTACCATCTAAAACTTCTTCTTCTTCGCCGTGCATAAGGATATTGAAGTAGGCGGGAGAGGGCTCAGCTCCTGTGTGTCAGTTTCATTTGGCGATTTGCAATGTTTCTCTAAGCATTCTCTCAAACCACCCATACACTAATCTGTATATTTATGCTTTTAGCGTGCCATTAATTATTTATCAACGCATAAATAATATTTCCAAATTTTCCTCAGGAAAGATACCTTCTTGTGTCTTACTCAAGCAAGCACATTCGCCTCTGTAATATCATCAACAAGAGTTACATACCTGTTCGCAATGCGATCGTTGTATATTCTATGTCCAATAAATAATTGATAATTGAAGATTTGCCACCGCTCCAAGGACCCATGAAGAGTATCAATGGTTTAGAGAATATCTCTGGATCTATAGTCAAAAATGGTTAAGAAAATAAGTATGTAGCGAAATAAAATCAAAATAATAATTTAACAGATGGAATATTTACCTCCAAAATGTCTGTTACTGAGATCTCTGTATTTGTAAAGCGTTTCCAATGGTTGAATCGCGTTATCGTAGAGCTTCTTCAAATCTCTCAAAACTATATCGGAAACTTTTTGTATAGCACGTTCTTTTTCTTCATTTTCCTCATCTAATTTTAACAATTGGTTGATGTGATCGCGCGGTCGAAGATTTTCCGGCATTTGTATTTCTTGAATCAAATCCTCCTCAGGACTAGGCTCTTCTTCGCTTTCAACTTTTGCTAAAATCAAATTTAAGGAGTCTCAGTGTCGAATTTAGTTTGTTTATATGTATAATATAATATTCTATAGCTTTATCGAATTTACCTTCTTCATCATCCTCGCTTTTATCTTCTATCGTTCGTTCCTCACTTTCGTTTTCGACTTCTCGTTTCGCACGAGATGAACCTTTTTCCTCTTCCCTTTCATCTTTTTCATCCTCTTGCACACTTTTTTCTTCTCTTTCTCCTTCTTCTTTTTCCGTTGTTTCTTCAGATATTTCTACAGCTTCGTCCTTTTCTTTACTAGCTTGATCATCTTCTTCTTTTGCTTCTTCTGCTTCTTCTGCTTCTTCTGCTTCTTTTGCTTCTTCTGCTTCTTCTACGCTTACGCGTTCTTCCTTTTCTTCGCTCTCAACTTTTTTCTCCAAATCGTCTTCATTCTCCCCTTCGTCAGCTTTCTTATCGTTTTCAGATTTAACGTTGTCGTCGTCGTGGTCATCGTTTTCTTCGGATTTCTTCCCTTCTTCACTCATTTCTTGCGATAATTCTTCAATCTTTATATCGTCTTGCGTTACTTCATCCGCGTTTTCATGTTCCAGAGAACCATCTTCTTGATAGGTATCATCTTGAACATTCTCGTCGTCTTCTTTTTCCTCTTCTTCGTCCTTCTTATCTACCTTTTCGGAATTTTCCTCTTTTTCTTCGATCTCATTTTCGCTGTCAGACGGTGCATCGCTCCTTAAATTTTCTTCCTCAGATTTTTCATCTTTGTCTTCGGATGACTTGGCATCGGTCAAATCATCATCATCGTTTAATTGAGCCGTCTCTTCTTCGACAGATTTTTGCTCTTCTTCTTCGGATTTATCCTTTTCTTCCTCTTTTGGTTCAACGGATTCGTTTTCTTCTTCTTCTTCTTCTTCTTCTTCTTTAGCCTCGTTCTTGTCTGCAAGAAAAGAAAATTCGTGCGTTAATGTCCTCTTGTCGCGTTTTGATCTGTTAGTTATTTACAGATATAATTTACACAACTTACCTTCTTTTATCTCTTCGTCGCTGTCATCTTCAAGAACTTGATCTGTTTGATCGTCCTTGTCAGAGGCTTGAGTCGATTCATCCTCAGTCTCGTCTATAATTTCCTCTTCTGCAGTCTCATCTGCAGTCTCTTCTGCAGTTTCTTCTGCAGTCTCTTCTACACTGATCGTATCAGTTTCTCCAGAAAGATCTTCTTCGTCCTTTTCTTGCAACTCTTTGATTTCATCATCGATTTTTCCTTCTTCATCGGTTTCTCCTCCTTCTTCGGTTTGATTCTCCTTTGAAACATCCTTCGAAACATCCTTCTCTGCAGATTCATCGGCCTAAGATCATAAAGAGAAAAGCGTTTGCTTAAAATTTTGATTATATTACTCGTGTAAGCTTAATTAGGACTTTTTTCTTGCACCTCCTCAGTGATAGCTAACGCTTCTTCTTCGCGTCCCTCCTCGTCGTTAACATTATCGACCTCTGCACTGGTCTGCTCCAAAGATCCTTTAAATGAAATATCCTAGAAATGCCTGTGTTCCACCTGAAATCGTTAAACATTTAACTATTACCTGTGCCGAGATCCTTGAGTGCCTTCTCGATGTAAGGCCGGCAAAGGTCTTCCGGTGGTATAGATTCTAGCTCTTCTTCACATTGCACTCCTGAAACGATCAACTCGTCTAATTTCTTCCAATACGGCTCCTTTTCAATTCAATAGCAATGCAAAATAAGGGATGCTATGTATTATGCTACACATGCGCATGTATTTGCGAGCAATGACAGCTATTAGCTTGAAGAACCAACTTTGACTTATTTCACTCTAATCGAATATTTATCCTACTTATTTATGATTTTTCTATGATTTAACTGAATAAACTATCGATACATTCCAAGAAGACGAATACATATTTTTGTCTTGAATCATGAGAGAGAGAGAGAGAGAGAGAGAGAGAGAGAGAAAATAAATCAATGTTAGACGAAGAAATTGTCGATATGATCTCGTTGAGCAGTATACCTGGGAAACGCGAGGCCGGCTTCTAAGTTTAGCGATGGGTAGGCGGCTTTGAGGCGAGCAAACAGTTGGAAATATTTATATATTGGATGAGTGAAATTTATTTTTATCTACAAACGAAAAAAAAAAGAAAACTACACACAAGTGTAACTAGAATGATCTTGCAATATATGCAAACAACTTGTGTCCAGTTAATAAATATTATACTTTCGCAAAAACAAGAAGTAGACAAGAAGCGAAGGGAATAAAGTATAAGGAAATTGAGGAAAATGGAAGAAAATTGAAGAAAACTTTAGGATACCTGTGCTAGCGATAGAACTAAAAGCATGCAGCTGTCGTTTGGCAAGCACAACTGTCATAGATAGAAATAGATTATCTCGTGTCCTGTTTTATACAATATTTTATCATTAACTATTTTTCAATATTCCATTATATTCGTCAAAAATGTCCGAGAGATTTGTCAGCAAAAAATCGAGATACGGGATATGTACCTATATGATAGAGTATCGATACAACATTTTGTTAACCCCCTTTATACTTCGATTCCAAAAATAATGAATTTCGACATTTTTGTTCTATCATTCGTAAGCGTATACCTCCTAAGCTAAAATTTCACTATATCACAGTTATATGATATTGGTATAACAACTTGTTATTTTAACAAAAGTTTTTTTAAGCGAGAATCTATATGATCAAATATCCGATATAGTCTAAAATATCATTTAAATGTCTATAAAATTTATGATAGATATAATCGATTATAATAATCGGGATAATCGGACGTCGAAGAGAGGCCACGAGCCAAAAAGCAAGCAGTGACGCAGATTGTCGAGTAAGATTTTACGTAACATTGACCTTCGTCAGTTAATCGTCACAGTTACCGTCACAGCATCTCCACGCCATACCTATATCATATCTATATGAAAATTATCATTGCACTAAATCGATTAATTATTGTCAATCAAGATTTATATGGAAACAAACATTAGCTAGACTTTTCCTAGCTAAAGCAAGCAATCGTGCGAGCTGTTTCGATGAGAAATGAATTCGCAAGAGAAGTAGAGAAGAAAAATAGAATGAAAGAAAAACACTGAGAAGAAGAAGAAGAAGAAGAAGAAGAAGCAGCAACAGCAGCAGCAGCAGCAGCAGCAACAGTAGTAGTAGTAGTAGTAGTAGTAGTAGTAGTAGTAGTAGTAGTAGTAGTAGTAGTAGTAGTAGTAGTAATAGTAATAGTAATAGTAGTAGTAGTA